CCATTGTTCTAGCCAAGACCATTTTCAATTATCTAACAGTGTACCACCTCTAGGCATAAAAATGAGCTTACAGAGATCAGCGGAATCACCTAGGCAAGCCCTCCAGTTGTGTGGGTAATAAACACTTGCTGTAAGCTTCTGTGCCTTTGTGATTGTTTGTTATAAGCATTATTGTTATAATAGACAATTGATAACAGCTACCTCCCAAGCTTCCATTGTAATGTGGGAATAAAGAGAGTATGAATCATGTAAATCAGGGGGAAATCCCTAAATTCTTTCCATCCAACATCGAAAATATAAGGATCATGTATCCGGATAATACCTATGTTACAAAGTACTAGAGATTTAGGGTTATTTCCAACTGAGGCTTAAAGAACTAAAATAATTACCAGATGAAGTAACAGAAAAAATTGTATTTGCTTTGGAGATATAATGACACACAATATACACTTTTTCTAATACTCAGAACCTCTTTAGATATTTGGGTAAAGGTGAAATTACACAAGACACTAGTTATTTAACTATAGTCATAACTTATTATTGAAAGCCTTTTGCCAGACCTTTCAACCGATAATGAAACTGGTAGTTTTTTATTAACTTCTGTCAGTATTCTATTAGAACTGCTAGTAACTACAGTGAAATGGTTCACAGTCATTTAAAAAAGAGGGTTGGGGTGCAAAAGCAAAGACAGTAAGAGTTCAATTGACAGGAAATAGAAACCCAGTCAACTGAGTGACTGCATTACGCTAACAAAATCATGTATCCAAATTAAGCCTTATCCCGTATTTGGGTAGAGGAGAAGGAAACCTATTGTATCTTGTTCCTGAAGAGAAGCTAAGGACCTCCCAGTGTTTATGGCACCACTAGCTATGCAGATAGGGGTCTTTGCAAGTGGTTTATTATTTGAGGGACTCTCACATAAACACCTTCCCACCTATTCGTTAAGATCTTTTTCTTGTCTCACATGTGAGACCTATCCAACCATAAACCTGCCAGTTTGCTCAGGTACACCCTACATTCTATGTCCATTCCCATAAGTGGCTGAAGACTGAGTAAATGAGCTGTTTTCTCACAGGCTTGCATGCTAACTCACTCTCTCTGTCAAACACACATAATACACACATATACATGCATAGTTAATTTTTGATGGCAGAGACAGTATGTTATTCACAATTATAACCTCAATTCTAGCATGATGCCTGGCATATGACAGGTTTTCAATAAAGACTGTTCAATGAATTAATAAACACATATCTTTAAATACATTGTTACTTTCAGGGTGCCTGGGTGACCAGCTGGTTAAGCATCCAACTCTTGGTTTTGGCTTAAGTCATGAACTTGGGGTCAGAGGATCGAGCCCTGCATGGGGCTCCACAATCAGCCCTGAGTCGGGTTGGAGATTTTCTCTCACCATCTCCCCTCTGCTCCTCCCCTTGCTCATGTGTGAGCGTGCATGCTCTCTCTCTAAAATAAATAGATAAATCTTTTGGGAGGCTTGGGTGGCTGAGTTGGTTGGGCTGCTGCCTTTAGCTCTGGCACAGTCGCCTGATGAGGCTCCCTGCTCAGGGGAGAGCCTGCTTCTCTGTCTGCCTGCTGCTTGGGCTCTCTTTCTTTCTGACAAATAAATAAATAATATCTTTAAGAAAAAAATATGTTTTTTATTTTTTTCTATTTTTTTTAAAGATTTTATTTATTTATTTGACAGAGATCACAAGTAGGCAGAGAGGCAGGCAGAGAGAGAGGAAGGGAAGCAGGCTTCCCGTCGAGCAGAGAGCCCAACGCAGGGCTCAATCCCAGGACCCCAGGACCATGACCCGAGTTGAAGTCAGAGGCTTTAACCCACTGAGCCACCAAGGCGCCCCCAAAAAATTTTTAAAAAATAAGTAATACATAAATACATTGTTACTTTCACCACTAAAAGCTAGACTGGGATTCAACCACTTGAGGGTCAATTTTTGCCCTTAAAAAAGTATTAGTTTATTATATGGTTAAAAATTGCCATTAATTTGGGCGCCTGGGTGGCTCAGTGGGTTAAGCCGCTGCCTTCGGCTCTGGTCGTGATCTCAGGGTCCTGGGATCGAGTTCCGCATCGGGCTCTTTGCTCAGCGGGGAGCCTGCTTCCCTCTCTCCCTCTCCGCCTGCCTCTTTGTCTACTTGTGATCTCTCTCTGTCAAATAAATAAATAAAATCTTTAAAAAAAATTGCCATTGATTTAAACTTAAATATGTCTGAGGAATGATCATTTTTACCTTATTATGACCTAAAAACATTAGAAGAATTATAGTTATTTATACCATATTTGTTGTATTTACTAATCATGCACTGTGATGGTTTAACACAATTCATGATTTGATTGAATATTTTTCAAAAATTTTTATTTATTTATTTGACAGACCACAAGTAGGCAGAGAGGCAGGCAGAGAGAGAGAGGAGGAAGCAGGCTCCCCACTGAGCAGAGAGCCCGATTCGGGGCTCGATCCTAGGACCCTGGGATCATGACCTGAGCCGAAGGCAGAGGCTTTAACCCACTGAGCCACCCAGGTGCCCCTGATTGAATATGTTTAACAGCTTGATTGAGCTACAATTCAAATAACATATAACTTACCTTACCTACTTAAAGTGTGCAATTCATTGAACGATCTTGGGCTCACAGAACTGTACAGCCATCACCACAATCAATTTTATATTTTCATCCCTCAAAAAAACCCCCAAACCTCTGTTCCCACTAGCACTCACTCCTCATTCTCCTTTTCTAACGTTTCTAACCCTTTGTTTTTTCAAAGTGCGAATAGTAATACTTATCTCATAGGATGTGAGGATTAATGACAATTCATGAAACACTTTGCATGGTACCTGGACCACAGTAAATGCCTAGTTAAAATCTTCTCTATTTGTCTTAGTCCATTTGGTCTGCTATAACAAAATTCGACAGACTGGGTAGCCTATAAACAACAGAAATTTATTTCTTACAGTCCTAGAGTCCTAAAGTCCAAGAGCAGGGTGTCAGCATGGTTGGGTTCTGGTGAAGGCCCTCCTTTAGGCTGCAGACTGCTGACTTCTCTCCAAATCCTCACATGGTAAAAGGAGTAAGGGAGTCCTCTTGGGACTCTTTTTATTTTTTTTAAGATTTTATTTATTTGACAGAGATCACAAGTAGGCAGAGAGGCAGCCAGAGTGGGGGTGGTGGGAGCAGGCTCCCTGCTGAGCAGAGAGCCCGATGCAGGGCTCGATCCCAGGACCCTGATATCATGACCTGAGCCTAAGGCAGAGGCTTAACCCACTGAGCCACCCAGGTGCCACATTAGGGCTCTTTTATAAGGGCATTAATCTCATTCATGAGAGCTCCACCCTAATGACCTATTACCTCTCAAAGGCCTCACCTCCTAATACTATCACATTGGGATTATTATTTCAACAAATGAATTTTGAGGGAACATGAGGACTCAGACCATACCATTATTTTTATTATATAGCACTTTATACTTAGTAGCTTAAAAATAGAGTCATTTTGATTTTTTAAAAAATTATTAGAGCCCTAACTTTCTCTAAGCATGTTTCCCCATCTCTTTGGAATTTATTGACTTTATAATCTTGTATTCCTCAAGTTTTCTGCACCTTCCTTAAGAACAATGAATCAATCTGATAAAATGCTTGGGTTCACGTGTTAATGGAAAGATCCAAAAGAAATGGCTGGTCAACCAGAGTTACTATTCCTCCTCAGTAACCAAGTTACATGTTAATAATAACATCCAGGATTTAATAATCAGTATCCCCTGTAGTCTACCCTCCACACACATAGAAATTCCTTTACAATGTAAGTCAAATCATCTCATTCTCCTGCTCAAATTCTTCTGTCACATCCCATCCCTCCCAGAGTAAAAACCAAAAGGATTACAATGGCTCGATAAGAATTGTAAGATTTGTGAAGCCCTATGTGATCTGATACTTGGCTACACTTTGACCTCATCTCTGACTATCATGCTTTGTCCTAGGCTTTCCTCAGACCTGCCAGTTACACTTCCTCCCCAGGACCTTTGCATCTGCTGATTTTCTCCTGTCTACGAATCTCTTCACATAGATTTCTACTTGGTTTCCTTCCTCAACTCTTTCACTGTCTTTGCTCAAATATCACCTTTACAATAAGGCCGGCCACCGTATATAAAATAGCAAAATCCTCCCTCCTCTTATCTTGCTTTATTTTTCTCCTCAGCACTTATAACCAAACACATTGTATATTTACTTGTTTTTTCCTTTAGAATGTAAGTTGCACGAAGACAGAAATTTTCCATTTTTCACCCCTGCTGTATCTGGTGCCTATTAACAGTCCCAGGTTGGTATTTGTTAAATACATGTTGGATGAAGGTCCTTCAAAACTGTCTTTTCCTACAAGCAAGCAACTTTAAAGCAAGAAAAGAGCAGAACCAAAGTAGTTTTGCTAGACTGCTTTCAGTGCTATGGAATCCTGCCCTGGTTGATCAAGGGATGCATTCTGACATAAGCTCACACACCTTTAGACACAGTCAGGTCCTTTACAATTGGCAGATTTCATGAAATGTTAGAACTAGTTCTAAAGTGGGCAGAGACAGAAAGTTTGAAAGTTAGCTTAGTTCCTGCCCCAACACTCCTTTCCTTCCCCACAAAATATGCCTTTCGTGTACTAGGATGGGTTTAATGACTATCTTTTTGTTATTAAAAAGTGAATCTACTGCTTCTCCAAAGACAAGATTGGTAGTTTTTCTGGTAATGGATTTAGAAGATCTTAGATCTTGCTCTTGACGCTCACCGTTAACTTTGCTGTTGTAGTGGATTTTAACATGCCTCTGGATTAAACTACAATTCCCAGGGTACAGCTCTAGGTGAATTCTGGGAAGTGTGGCAAAAGAAAGCTTATAACCATGGTTAACCTTGGAAGACTTAACAGCTAGCGTGAAAACAGAACTACATTTCCCAGAGTGCATCTATAGGGTATTCTGGGAAGTGTGGCGGAGGCCCCTAAGGCGGGAAAGCCCTACTTCCCAGGAGCCTGACTAGTTCCCTGGTTTCTGCTGATTCCTGAGGCCTAGGAAGGCACCCTCCCCCAAATTCAGAGTGAGTACAGCAGATCAGAAAACTGTTGAGGTTCTAAGCAAAGGAAGGATTTTATGGGATGGCATAATCAAAACTTGAAAAAAAGCTCTTGGTCACAGCATTTTGTGATTTTTAGCTTAGTCTTTTCCTTATTGCAGGAACCAGGGAATGGCCAGTTTTGCATCATAACTTATAGAACTATCCTTTTAACTAAAGCTAAAGCTAATATTCTAACTAAAGCTAGTATTTTTCTGGTACTTTCTTGGAGAGTCATTTAAAAACGGAATTTGCTTACTTTTTTGCCTTGTGCCTGCATTATTTTTTAATTAAGGGAGGAAACATTTTTAGAAAACTACTTAAGGAGACCTTGAAATCTGTATCCTTTGGCTCCTCAATTTTGCATATTTCCTCATTCCACTGAGGTCCACATTAATGAATAGACAGACTGAAAAGGGCTCTCTCAAACTCTACCAAACTTCTTGGTAGAATAACCACAGAGATTCGAGATAGACCCTTTCTTCATTCTGTAGTACTTTACAAAGTAATCTTTCTTCTTAAAATGAACAGGATAAAAAATGTAGGAATTATTTATTACAGGGGCTTGAGAGATATTGTTAATCTTAACAGCCTTGCCTCTTCATCAAATAATTTTTGGTAAAAACAATATTATCTTTCATCTTTATCAGTCCTTATACTTTTAAAGACATAAATCATAAATGAATGTTGAAAAATGCTTTCCCATGTATTTCTCATCAAAACATGAGTTTTGGAGCCAGATAGCCCTGGGCTTGAAACTGCTACTGTCTAAACTGTGATTTCAGATTAGTTAAAGCTTTATCTTCCTCACTTGTAAAATGGGATAAATTCGTTCATTCATTCATTCACCCATCTATCTATATTATGTTTTACATTGTGATAGAAACAGTGCTAGGTGCTATAGAAAGGGGAAGATACAATCCCACCCCTTAAGGATTTTACAGTCCAACAGATCTGAGAATTAGGTAGAAACCTGACATGGTTGTAATACACTTCAGATCCATTTTCTCTCCTTCCTTCCCCTATGAGAAGTGAGACAGAAAGGAAGCTCCAAGGAGTTAGGTGACAGCTCCAGATCACAAATTCAGTCAGTGGGAGAATAAAAGTTCGGAGTCTCTTCAGTGCTTACTTCCCTGTTCCTTCCTCAGTTTGGAGATATGCACAGACTGTAAAACAGAAGGCAAGCCTGAGCTTGTCATCTAATGTAAAATAACAGTGCTAGTATTTTCTTCCAAAACTTATTTCATGAATAGTGAACTTTTATCCCCAGCATGCCATCAGGAATAAAATACCATAATAGTTGCCAGTTCAAACAAAAACAGTTCTGTTTATAATGTGGATTTGAGGATCATGGCAGGTTTACCAGTTGTTTTCCAGCAAGTTTACTAAAGGTGAGCCCTTGAGCCAATACACTTTAAATAAAACATCACACTGAAGACCTCCAGAAGAGTAAAAAATCACAAACCATTTAGAAAAAAGTAACATTTTGGGGCTGCCTGGATGGCTCAGTGGGTTGAGCCTCTGCCCTTGGCTCGGGTCATGATCTCGGGGTCCTGGGATCGAGTCCCGTGTCGGGCTCTTTGCTAGGCAGGGAGCCTGCTTCTTCCTCCTCTCTCTCTCTCTACTTGTGATCTCTCTCTGTCAAATAAATAAAATCTTAAAAAAGAAAAGAAAAAAAGTAACATTTTCCCTGCATTAAATTTCTAAATAGCGTGGAGTTTTAAGAAATTATATTTTCATTCCACAAGTCGGTTCACATATCCTCATTGTTAAAAGACCTCTTTTTTCTTTTCTTTTTTTTTTTTTTTTGGACTGAGGTACACAAAGAAATGCAACACATATACCAATTGGTTCCTGTACTGTGTTTCTGTGTTCATGTTATGGAAAATGCTGGAAATGTACTATAATATTCTAAAAACCTAGAATGGTCAAAACCACAGTAAATAAATAAGCACAGGACATCAAACAGTTTGCAAAAGGGAAACTAGAACCATTAAATCTCAAAACACTTTTAATCTCGGTAGTTATTACAAAAATATAAAATGAAAGGTTTTTTTTAAGCCAAACACTACTGAATCTTGTAAATGCAGCAATATGTAGAAAGAGCCATATGATTTTAAACTAAATTTTGTCCCAGTAATTCTACTTTGGGAAACTTAAAAGAAGTAGCCTGAAAATATCAGCACACAGGTATTTAGTGGTATCTTATTTCTGGTGATTTAAAATCAGAGCAACCTAAATGTCTAAAATCAGGGGAATGTTTAGCCAAATAAGGATGAGTCTACCTGAATGTATTATTTTGCCGCTAAAAATATTATATAGCTTATACAAAAACATAGAAAACTGCTTGTGATGTGTTTCATGAAAACAAGTTGACAAAAATGTGTCCTCTAATTACAAATATGTAGAAGTTGTACATGTAAGGGGGCACTTGGGTGGCTCGGTGGGTTAAAGCTGCCTTCGGCTCAGGTCATGATCCCAGGGTCCTGGGATCGAGCCCACATCAGGCTCTCTGCTCAGTGGGGAGCCTGCTTCTCTCTCTCTCTCTCTCTCTGCCTGCCTCTCTGCCTACTTGTGATCTCTGTCAAATAAACAGAAAAAATCTTAAAAAAAAAAGAAGCTGTACATGTAAAAAAGATTAGAAAATATATAAGTTATATTTATGTGGTCATATTATGGACACCCTCACAATTCTGTCTTCTAGATGTCCTGTAATGTAATTATGTTAATTTTATAATTCAAATTATATATTTCAAAGAGAAAATTACAGTTAAAGCTGATTTTTAAGGAAATCACTTTCTCCTCTTTGACTTTTCAATAATCTCTGTAGTTTTTATATAAGATGTATATAAAGATATACAAGGGACCATTTAGAAAAGGAATTCAACTTGATTTTTTTTTTAAGATTTTATTTATTTATTTGACAGACAGAGATCACAAGTAGGCAGAGAGGCAGGCTGAGAGATTTGAAGGGAAGCAGGCTCCCCGCTGAGCAGAGAGCCTGATGCAGGGCTCAATCCCAGGACCCTGGGATCATGACCTAAGCCGAAGGCAGAGGCTTTAACCCACTGAGCCACCCAGGTGCCTCTAGACTTAATTTTAATCTACTAGGTTCATGACTGTACCAATGAAGGTACAGTTCTCAGTTGAAATAAGTCTGGTTTTCCTCTTGATTGTTAATGTTTTTTCAAAGTTACATTAAGAACTTCACTATGTTTTTTACAAGCTGTGACCACCATCCCACGAGTCAGCAGGCCATGATAATCCACAACTGGCTAAGGTTAATTTAGTAACAGAAACTAGACAAAACATCAGGCAGCTAAGGACAGTGGGCCACATAGTTGGTAGTTAATGGTGCAACCAAATAGCTCTTGTCTCTCAGGATTCAAGGAACTAACAAAAAGAATTACTTTTGGCTCCCTGGGACTGTGATGAGGTAATCCTGTTAACGATTTGGTATGTGTACTTCTAGTCACTTTAAAAATAGAAATGAATATATATTTATGTTTACTGATGTGTATATGTCCTTTTGTTTTTCTTTCTTTCTTTTTTTTTTTTTAGAGAAGGAGAGAAGTAGGGGCAGGCAGGGACAGAGGGAGAGGGAAAGAGAGAATCTTAAGCAGACTGCATGCCCAGTACAGAGACCAACACAGGGCTCAATCCCACAACCCTCAGATCATGACCTGAGCCAAAATCAAGAGTTGGTTGCTTAACCAACAAAGCCACCCAGGCACCCCTATGTCCTTTCCTTTATAAATTAATTATATCGTGGTAAACCAAATATTACTTGCTTTTCTTACTTAAACAGATATTGTGAATATCTTTCCCTGTTACTGTATATGAATGTTTCTACTGTTATCTTGTATTTATTTATTTTATTTTATTTTATTTATTTTTTTTTGTAAAGATTTTATTTATTTATTTGTCAGAGAGAGAGCGAGAGTGAGCACAAGCAGATAGAGTGGCAGGCAGAGGCAGAGGGAGAAGCAGGCTCCCCGCTGAGCAAGGAGCCCGATGTGGGACTCGATCCCAGGACGCTAGGATCACGACCCGAGCCGAAGGCAGCGGCTCAACCCGCTGAGCCACCCAGGCGTCCCAATTTTAAAGATTTTACTTATTTGAGAGAGAGAGAGAGTAGGGGAGAGGGGCAGAGGGAGAGGGAGAGGGAAAGAGAAAATCCCAAGCAGACTCCTTGCTGATGTGTGGCTTGATCCCAGGACCCTGAGACCATGACCTGAGCCAAAACCAAGAGTCATATGCTTAACTGACTGAGCCACCCAGGCACCCCTCTTCTATTTATTTTTAAGAACTGTATATTATTCCCCTTTATCATACTTCTTGGTTAATGTTCCTATACCTATCCTTTTCTTCATAAGATAAATTTATAGAAGTGGAATTGCTAGGTGAAAAGGATGTTTATTTACCATGTTGATAGATATTCCCAAATTGCCCCCCCCAAAATACTATACCAGTTTACACTCTCAGAGTTTGTACATGAGACATATACGTAGGACATATCTATGTACAAGAAATGTAAATATATTTATTCTAGTATATCGCACAAGTCTTTAGGTTATTAAACTAGGAATTATGCTTTTTAATACTCTTCTAGAATGCTTTTTTTTTCTTCTTTTTTTTCCATAATTTTTTTAAAGATTTTTTTATTTATTTATCAGAGAGAGAGAGGGAGAACGAGCGAGCACAGGCAGACAGAATGGCAGGCAGAGGCAGAGGGGGAAGCAGGCTCCCTGCAGAGCAAGGAGCCCGATGTGGGACTCGATCCCAGGACGCTGGGATCATGACCTGAGCCGAAGGCAGCTGCCCAACCAACTGAGCCACCCAGGTGTCCCACTAGAATGCTTTTTAACCCACATATCACATGTTGCCTTCTGGGAAAGCTGTTTGTCTTCTCTCTCCTACTAGAGACCCTTGATAGCAGGTTTGTCATCCAATACATTTCTGTGTTCCTTAAAGGACCTTGCATAAAGTCAGTTTTCAATAAATACTTTTTGTTGAATGTTGTTTGCTAAATATATTTTACCCTTGGCTAGGACACTGATTGTAGCCAAAACTGTCTAAGGATTAGTCATCAGTGATTCATAATTATGCAACCAAGAAGTAAGCCTAAACTTTAGATGTTCCTCAGTAATTTGTTTAGTGTCAAAGCTTCCTCCCTTGGGCACAGTTAAAAGCGTGGTTGGTTATTTGTACTGATTTTCTCATTTCAGTGGAACTTCTTGAATTTATTGCCAATGGGAGAATAAAATAGTTATTGATAAACAATTTAAAAGGAATCATCTTGGGGTGCCTGGATGGCTCAGTGGATTAAGCCTCTGTCTTTGGCTTGGGTCATGATCTCAGGGTCCTGCGATCGAGCCCCGCATCAGGCTCTCTGCTCAGCAGGGAGCCTGCTTCCCCCTCTCTCTGCCTACTTGTGATCTCTCTATGACAAATAAATAAATACAATCTTTTAAAAAAATAACAGGAATCACTTTCTACAGAATGGATTCATAAGATACAGAATTTTTTTTCTCTCACAATGAGACACACAAAATAGAAAATATCTTAGATTCAAGTAGATTTGCATAGCTGCCTTTTGAAATATTTTCTTAATGGCCATGATTTTTATATTTTTCTTACCTATAGGATTCCTCTTACTTCATTCTCAGAGGGACTTTGACTTTCATATATTCTGAGAAACTTACTTCAGTTACTTGGAGACATTCCCAGTCTTACCTGGTCTTAGAGTAATGCTAGCTGCTATAACAAACTTCGAAAGTTCAGTTGCTTAATATGGCTGAAGTTTATTTCTCACTCATAAATCGTCCAAAGTGTGTGTGTGTGAGTACTTTAGTTGGAAGGTGGCTTTTCTCCATGTTGTGATTCAAGGATCCAGGTTTCTCCATCTAATGGCTCTGCCATTCCAGAGTCTTACTAGCAGGAGGAGGAAAGGGGATGATGGCATACCCATTTCTTTTATTATTATTGTTTTTAAATTTTTACTTAAAGATTTATTTACTTCAGAGAGTGTGCACACACACCAAGATGGGGGGGAAGGGCATAGAGAGAGGGAGAGAATCTCAAGAAGACTCCAGGTTGATGGCAGAGCCTGGTATGGGGCTTGATCTCACCACCCTGAGATCAGGACCTGAGATGAAACGAAGAGTTGGATGCTCAACCAACTGCGCCACCTGGGAGCCTCTTAGCTGGCATACCCACTTCTTAGCTGCTTCATCCCAGAAGAGATATACATCACTTACACTCACATTACATTGTTAAGACCTACTTTTGGCACTGCTTAGATATAAGGAGAGAAATGTAAATTGTGGCTTAGCAGCTACCTTTTAGCAATAATTCTTAGGAGGAAGAATGTATTTTTTGTAGATAGCAGAGTCTCAACCTATTAGGTAGGCGGAACAGATTGCAATTTTGTAGATTAGAAAAGGAGTACTGAAAAGTTGAAATCCCACAGCGAGTTAGTAGAACAAATGCAATTTAGAAGCCAGATCACCTGACTCCTATTCAGTTTCTTTCCTCAATATTAAAAAGTAATCCTATCCTGGCTGAAAGTATAACCATCTTGGTGATTCATTACTTTAATTGCATACTATGACTTTTTTTTTTTCTTTTAACTTCTCTTTTCTCTAAGGACCTGACAATGTCCCTGTATTGTGGAATTGCTTGCAGGAGAAAATCTTTTTGGTACTTTAGGCTGCTGTCAACTTATGTTGCTAAGACCCGGTGAGTTGTGACCAACCTGAGCTCTGATTATTCTCTTTTTGGCCCATTAAATTATAAAATATAAATATCTCAAAATCCTATATTGAGGATGAAGGATACATGATTAAGATTTACATATAAGGACAGTCATTACAAATTATTTATAATTTGAAAAATTCTAAACTAAATTTCCAGTAATAACTAAAATATCTGACACATTTTAAATATTAAGTTCTGTTAAGATAAGAACTTTGTCTTTCCCACTCTGGTACCCCTCTGCATATGGGTACCCCTCTGGTACCCGTGTATAAAACAATACCAGGTGCATAGTAGGCACTAAAGGACTACTGAATGGATGAATGACCAAGAAGGGAGAAATTAATTAAACAACGGTACACCCCTATGATGGAATTAAAACTATACTGAATAGTAATAGTTCATGAAGTTTCCTGAAAATAAGGTAGATAATTCTAATTACTTCACCCCTCACCCTCTAAGAAAGAACTAAACTACCAGTTAAAGGTAGACTAGGAGAAAAACCAAAACCAAAAACCCTGCTCCAGTACAGGAAGATGGTAAAGGACTTCTTTGTCACAGCCTGGGAAATTTGAAATCTGTGAATTTGAAATCACTAGCTATTCTCATAATTTTGGGGGTTTAAATTTGCACCATTTGTGTTATGTCCGCCAAACCCCAACCTAAGAAAAGAATTTAAGTAGTAGTTGTAGACTTATAAGACCGCTGGGCACCTTGCAGAAGCAAAGGTGAAACTCCTCTGAAGAAATGCGCTCATAACCAGGGCCTCCTACTGGAAAAGCTCTGCCAAACGTGAGTGCCCAGTCCAGAATTTAAAGGCACATAAGCACACAACGATACATGAACAAAAGTGAGAAAAGGAAATTGTGGTACTTATATTATTGTAGGTTATTTGCTGTTCCCAGGCTGAGACTCTGAGAACAATAACTGAATTACTGTATAATTATTGAATGGTCTAAAACTGACTGTATTAAAGTGATTTTAAAATGAGTAAAAAAATTATGAGAGAATGAAATCCTGTCAATAAAGAACATGGCATGAAAAGAATGTTGAAGAAAAAAGGCTACAAGTAGGTATGATCCTGAATATACCTATCTATGTGCAGGTACACACAATAAATAGTTTAAAGAATTCCCAGGTGTAAACAGTGATCATCTCTGAATGGTGAGATTCTTGATGATTTCCCTTTTTTGAACAAATTGCTAACTGTATTTTCTGATTTTTATGGGATGACTTTTGATTTTTATAAATAGGAAAATAAGCTTATGTCCAATAATCTTAGTGTTGTTTCCATACTATTATAACTAAAGGGGGAAAAGGAATTTTTAAAATTAGTGTTCCTGATCAAGAAGGAAAATGTAAGGAACTTTTGGGATCTCAGTTCCAATTCCAGTGAGGCTCCAGATTTAAGACCTTAACCTGAGTGTTTTTGTAGGTGTTTTGCTTTTTAGGGTCATTAGGGTAAAGCACAGGTTGTATGACTCTTACTGTTCTTTTAGGAAGGCAGCTTTGTTTGTTCTATTGTTTATATTTGGTAACTTCTGAGTGGCACAAATCTCTCCTTTGACATGCATTAAGTCTTTGCCCCAGGAAGTGACAGTCTCTTATAATAAGTTTAAAAATACCATTGAGTATTAAAATCTCAGGTTTCTTTGGTCTTGTGTTTATAAAGAGCTCATTGTAACCCCTTTTATCATACAGTCAAAAATAGGTTCCTAAACATGTCGCTGGGACACATTTATCATTTTCCTTTGTAGTTTTATGTTGAGCTAACTCTGTTAGTGTTACAAAATCTCCCAGATCCTACAGGAAATATCTATAAACTGCATTGCCTACTTCAGTGACAAAACCTGCCATAAATCTGAGTCTGTTCGGGGCTTTTAATTGGCAAAAATGGTTATCCCTAAGGGTCCAGAAGGAGAATCTATATTATGGTACCCCTGAATCATGTGGATCCTGACCTGATTTTCAAGGCTCTTGAAGGGATAAACTTAGGTAATCTTTAATGAAGGTGCTTGAAAAGCCTAGATCTGGAACCAGTACTATTTCTTCTAGAGAAGCTAATGATAGGATGTTATCTTTTCTACATTTGTATTTTGGCCATTGAAGATATTACACTTATTAAATAAGTGTAGGTCAAGTATAGGCTTCATTTTCCCACCAGTGGTCCCTTTGATAGAGATTAGGAGCCAATGGTGTCCACCTGGAGGACTAGGTGTTGGAAGCAGGAATGCACTGAAGATAACATCTGCTCTTTATCATCCCTAGATTGAAAAAGAGTTAACTGAAAGCATGGTGTTGGCTCTTCGTCTATAATAATAAAGTCTGCATTCATCCCTAGGTATTCTGTGGTTGATGTTTTATCACTGTACTTGTTTTCCTTTCACTCCACTGCATATAAATTCTTGCCTCACAGCGTAATATTGGCAAAGTACCCTGAGGTTCAATATAGTAAATATTTATTACTCTTGAAATTCAATTCAATAAATATTTATTGAACTGAGCCATTCAATATCTAATTACTGGAGATAAAGAACTAAGGCTGACCCTGCCCTTGAGGAGATCATAGTCTTTCAGGGGAAAGAGCAATTTAGGATATAAATAAAAGGAAATAACTGATAGGAGAGAGATGCAAGAACCGAATTCTGAAAGATGAATGCTGTACAAGTAACTAATAATGCTTTATTTCCAAAATACAGGTATTTATTTGAGCTGAAGGAAGATGATGATGCATGTAAAAAAGCCCAGCAGACAGGAGCATTTTACCTCTTTCATAGCCTGGCTCCTTTGCTTCAGAAATCTGGACACCAATACCAGGCCCCCCGGCATAGCCTACTAGGTAAGCCCAAAGAGGACCAATAGAGTAGATCAATCTGTGGCCATTAAGCAGAATTTCATCCATATCAAACCCCTGAGAAGGCTCCTTCAATTTTAGAGTCCAGATTTTTGAAGTTACTTCTACCAATTAATTATTTAGTGTATAAACCTGAGTTGCCCATATATTATTTAGTGATGGTATGAACCACTATTGCCTTAAACTAGGGGTCAGTGAATCTGCTGTCCAAATTGGAACCCAGGGGCGCCTGGGTGGCTCAGTGGGTTAAAGCCTCTGCCTTTGGCTCAGGTCATGATCTCAGGGTCCTGGGATCGAGCCCCACGTCGGGCTCTCTGCTCAGTGGGGAGCCTGCTTCCCTCTCTCTCTCTCTCTGCCTATCTCTCTGCTACTTGTGATCTCTGTCTGTCAAATAAATAAATAAAATCTTAAAAAAAAAAAAAAACAAATTGGAACCCACTGCTGGTTTTGTAAATATTGGAACACAGCCTTGCTCATTCATTTACGTATTGTCTGTGGCTGTTTTCGAACTACAGTGGCAGAACAGAGTGGTTGTGACAGAGAGCCACATGGCTCACAAAACCTAAAATATTTGCCCAGCCCTGCTTAAACCAGTGATTTTCAGCCTCCATGGAATTGCATACTGTTCTACTATTTAAGATTTGCATCATAACTTCATTTCTTTTAGAAGGATCAAAAGTAAAAGTGACGTAAAATTAATTTTAGAACTTGGGAACTCTTTTAGGGTATATAAATAAAGATATCTAAGGCACTGGGATTTAGCATTCAAGGTACTAACTTTCAGTATTATATGATGTCACTATACACTGACTGACTTCTAAATACAAAGCCAGTGAATTTCCTCCATGGGTCAGATGTTGAATACTTGGATAGGTAGTTTCTAGCAGTGCAGAAGTACATCAGGATGCCAACAGAAGGCAATGATATGTTGTGTTATGAACAAATAAATATGTCCTTCATGCACAAGAGGACATATTTTCTCCCTATACAGCACTTGTCTTACACAGACTGGGATCTTGGATGAATAGTCTACCCTAGGCCACACACGCAGCGTAATCTAAATTATATGTAACTGATTTGGTCTCTAGCATTTTAAGCATGACACTTTTTTTTCAGCACCGTAATACATTAACTTATCATGTATCTTTTGAACTAGGGGATATCCTCCTTTCATGATACAATCATAGATTACAGTGGTACACAGCAAGAATTCTTTTAGTCTAAACACTTTAGGTTGCTGATGGGAAGATGGAGGTATAGAGAGACTAAGTGATTAGACCAAGATTACATAGCTAATTAGCTGCAGGGCAGTGGCTAGAAGCAGGTATACCTATTCAAGCTGAAGTGGATGATTTCCTAGAAGGTTAATATGGCTATGGTGATTTAGTGAAAACCTCCGTTTTCTTCCCTTCTCCTTTTGTTTCTTAGGGTTGGAAAGGCTCCTGGCAAAGTTTGGACAGGACACACAAAGAATAGAAGACTCTGTGTTGATTGGATGCTCTGAACAGCATGAAGCATGGTTTGCTCTTGATCTAGGTCTAAACAGCTCCTCTTCCCAAAATGGTATAGAACATTATTTCTAATGAGTACTTCCCAGTGGTGGTCAGACTTTGGGATCTCATGTAATAGTAAAACTTCAAAGAAAATTTTGTGAATACCAAAGGTTATCAACCTTGTTTTTTTTTTTTTTTTTTTTTTAAGTTAGGATATAAAAAATTACTACCCATCTACTGTCATCATTTATAAGAAGATAAAGAACATTTTAATACTTTCTAAGCTAGGTAGTAGCTACACAGATGTTTATTATTTTATTCTCTGTACCTTTATACATTTTATATTTCTTAACTCTTTCATGACATCATCCTTATCTCAGGTGAATAAACGTGTTACCATGCTCAGGGTCTTCAGACCTGCCTTTGGGAACCAGTTTGGTATAAGGTTCATGGTTCCAACTAGGCTTTCCTTCTCTCCTGGGTCTAGTTATAAATGTAATGATGCTGTTATGCAGTGCAGATAGGAGCTTAGAGGTGCCATTTTACCTCTTTTCCAGGGATAGTATGTGGTTAGTGCAAATATTATTACTCTGAAGAGGATCTTGAGAAATATTATGCTCTGATGTTTCTCAGATTTGCCTGAATATAAGAAATCACCCAGTGCTTATTAAAAAATAAAGATTTCTGGGCCTCACTCACCTGCTGTTCAGAATCCCCAGGCTGGGGCTTGAGAACCTGTGTATTTTTTGTTTTCCCTAGTTGAGTATTATTAGGTGAGTTTGGGAAACACTTGAGGGGGGCCCCAAGGGAAAGTTCAGTGTTTGTTTCATTTCATCCTCTGTTCTCATTTTCTAGCTGCCTTACAGAAACCAGAAATGGAGACAGAGCTCAAGGGCTCTTTCACTGAGCTGACGAAGGCTCTCTTTCAGCTGAACACAAAGGATGCCTCCTTGCTGACCATGGTAGATTCTGACTTCTTAGTTCTATAGGGAATTTAGTAAAGCAGTGTTTATGGGTGAAAAATGCATGTGTGTGAAGGCTAGAATGACATCTGGTTTCCTCTTGAGCAGACAGATCACAGTCCTTCCTATAAACCTTAGCAGAGGACAATGTGCTGTGTAGAGAGATTGCTTATTCTCCTTTCTTTTGCCCTTATTTTTCGCAGGACCATTTTCTCCCAAGGACATGCAGATCTATCAGCCTCATGATATTTTTAGTGACCCATAGCGTAACATACATCATTATGTTATTCCTATGAGAAATTACTTTGTATTGCTTTAATGATTTATCCTCACAGCTTTAGACTTCACTTGTTAAAGTGCTTTTGGTTGTTCATTTAACTTAAAAAGACATCTCTAAACATTTTTATTTGCAAAAAAATCCCACCTTTATTGGGGAGGAGTACCTGATGGGGCATTACACTGGAAATATTGGAAATATCTTTTTTTCTTTTTAGCCTTTAAACAGCATTTATTTTAACATTCTCATTTTACAGACAAGACAACTGAGTCACAAAAATACAAGTGTTGTTTATTACCAGGTTTGGAACATGAATTCATGCTTCTCAAAAGAAGCAGGGTCATCACTCTCTGAACTAAGACATGTGCTTTCATGTGCTTTAATCATGGCAAGATCAGTGATATTCACTAAGCACTGATTTTAGTGATGCAATCATACAAATGTATAAGTGCAAAAGTGAGAGAGAACACTTGCTGGAAAACAAGAAAAGAAAAGCTCTTATTACATGAACCATTTTGTACTACCACGAACGATTTATAGGACAGTAACACAATGTAAAAATAATTCAACAGAGAGTGATGCCAGCAAGACGGTAGATCCAAGAAGTTCCAGGTCCTAATTCCTTACTTAAACATTAACACACACACAACCGAGACTGAATCATGAAGAAATAAATGAATAAATCTATAGTTAAGTTTGATTCAATCAGTAACCAAAGCCTCCCAACAAAAAACAACCCAGGACTAAACTGGTGTCTTCAATGAATTCTACCAAACATTTAAAATAGGATTAAGCCAATCTTTTTCAACTTCTTCCAAAAAATTGAAGTGGAAACACTGTTATAGATTGTTTGTATCCCCCCAAAATTCACATGCAGAAATCCTAACATCCAAGGTGATGGTATTAAAAGCTGGGGTCCTTGAAAGGTAATTAGATCATGATGGTGGAGACCCTGTGAATGGGATTAGTTCCTTTATAAAGGCGGACCACAGAGCTCCCTCATCCTTCCATTAGGTGAGGACATAATGAGAAAGTGCTGGTTATAAACCAGAAAGAGGGCTCTTGTCAGACACTGAATCTTCTGGCACCTTGATCTTGGATTTTCCAGCCTCAGGAACTTTATGAAATAAATTTCTGTTGTTGACAAGATACCAGTTTATGGTCTTTTTATTATAGCAGTCTCAACTGACTAACTCATTCTATGCAGCTAGCATTACCCTGCTATCAAAGCTAGATAATGAAAAAACAGCAACAAAACTACAGACCAATTATTTCTCATGAACACTGATATAAGAATCTTCAACAAAATACCATCAAACAAAAATTCCAGAGTATATTAAGAGAACGAAATATCTTATTTTTAAGTTGAGTCCTAAGTACATGGGGCATTCATTATAATAGTTTATATATTATATGTATTTTAAATGAATCATACTTTCTCTTATTCATATTTCAGATGCTAGAGGAGTATGTCCAGATAATTTCCTTTTTTTAAAGTTCAAACAGTTGATACCATTTAAAGTAGGTGAGCTGGGAAGGGATTGGCATTTCCCTTTGAATTGCTCTAAATACTAGGCCCAGCCCTATTACAGATGAGCTTCACATTCTCTCCAAATGAAATCAGCCTATCTTTGTATTCCTAGGCTCAGGCCCTTCTCCGTTGGCATGATGCTCATCAGTTCTGTAGCAGAAGTGGGCAGCCCACCAAGAAGAATATGGCTGGCAGCAAGCGTGTGTGCCCTTCCAATAAGATCATCTATTATCCACAAGTAAGCACTACTTTAAAAGGGCAATAATCCAAGAAGACTGTGTGCTAGCTTGTCCTAGGGATAGAAGCCTATACAGTTAAAAGGCTTTCCTTAGTTATCCGTTCCTTCATCCCATTAACAGGCCCAAAACCCTAATGTCTAAGTTTCAATTCCCTTTTCCTAGATGGCTCCTGTGGTGATCACTCTAGTGTCAGATGGGACTCGATGCCTGCTTGCTCGCCAGAGTTCCTTTCCCAAGGGAATGTATTCTGCTTTGGCAGGTTTTTGTGACATAGGTAAGAAGTTTAGGGCATGTACAGATGACTGGAGGACACGAAAGCTTAACAATAGTAGGTATTTCTTTATCTTGTTGCTGCTGTTCTGGAGTCTCAAGCACACTGTTCCCTGACAAGTCAAAAAACTGCCTTCCGGCATTTTAGTTGTCCAGTATTAGGCAAGTTTTTAAACATATGGCATACCTGAAAGAATTATACAGTTAATACTCTCCCATACACTTACCACCTAGATCCTACACTTGTTTTCTTCATTTACTTTATCACATATCTATCCATCCATTAATCCATTTTATTCTTTGATTCATAGTTTGCAGACATTAGTACACTTCTCCCTAAATATTTCAGCATGCACCGTATTTATCAGAATTCAATAGATATTTATAGTTTTTTTTTTTTTTCTCAGTCTGCTGGGGTAAAATTTGCAAAAGGTGAAACATGGCATTAGAATTTTGTTAAAGCAGAGGTCAGCGGTAGCCTCTCTAATTGTCACTCTTATTTTGCAGTCTAAGTAAGTAACTAGTATAAGTATTGTAGTTTAGCACCCAACTCCAGATTTGAGTCCTGTTGTTGTAGAGACTCAGGGATTTAGGGCTCTCCCCAAGAATAATTCACTGAAACTTTGGAGCCAGTTTTGGGCTCCTTTCACAGATGGGCATTTGTATCACCCTTCCCGCTGCAGGGCTGTCCTGAATTAATCTGAGTGCTTATAGGTGAAAGTCTGGAAGAGGCTGTCCGGAGAGAAGTTGCAGAAGAGGTGGGATTGGAGGTGGAAAGACTGCAGTACTCTGCATCCCAGCACTGGCCCTTTCCTAATAGCTCACTCATGATTGCTTGCCATGCAACTGTGAAACCAGGGCAGACAGAGGTAAGTTCTGATGCTTCCCTTATGCTGTGGTATTTCCTTTGCTTCACCCACGTTGGCCAGTAGGCACCTGTCTAGTCCGGCATTGTCTACGTTATTCAAAGATGTGTAATGTAGGATTTGTTCCCTTAAGGAGTTTGCAGTCTTATAAAGGAAACAATCTCCATGCAAATTCAGAGCAGCCACACAATTACCATTCTTCTTTGTATGTATCTCAGTTATGTGACAATTTATTTTTCAGCAGGACTTAGCAGAGCATCTTACAGAGAGTAGGCACATAATAAATATATCAAATTAAATGACTGATTTCAGGGTTGGTCTTATTGTTCAAGTCTCTTAGGATGTTGGGGACCAGTTATATAAAATCAAAGGAACCTGTGGGTGAAAGGGATTTAGATGTTGTCTCATCCAACCTCATCTTGCTCTTCTGCAGCATCCCTGATAGATGGCATTGTGCTCCTTACTTGCCAGTCTATTGTGTTTTGGTTTGCATAGAATTAATAATATCTCATCTGTCTCAGCTTCCTGTGGATACAATGTGCCTTTGATAATCATTAATTATCCCTTATCCTTTAGAGAGGAGTAACTTTATGTTTTTCTTTAAATTGAAAGTTAATCAAAAGTTATTTATATATTACACCTCACTGTTAACCACTCTTTAGTATTTCGGTATTTGTGTTTTTGGGACTTTTAAAAGGCACTTTTTTTCTTTTACACTATTTAAAAAATATATTTAACTCTCTCCTTTTAGTTATGCCTCTTTTGCTTCTGTGCAATATCTAAAACTAATCATCTCCCAGCCTATAGATCCCAGGTCCTGCTTAGTTCTGGGAACATTTTCTCACCTTTGGCGAGAGTATTCTAAATTTTGTAGCTCCTAACCTTACATTCTGTTTTCCTTCATGTCTTTTAGATCCAGGTGAACTTGAAAGAACTAGAGGCAGCTGGCTGGTTCAGTCATGAGGAGGTGGCCACAGCCCTGAGGAAAAACAGTCCATATACTCAGCAACAGAATGGGACATTCTGGTTGCCCCCCAAATTAGCCATTGCCCACCAACTGATTAAGGAGTGGGTGGAAAAGCCGTCCTGCTCTACCCTGCCTGCTTAGCCCAGACTGAGCCACCTAGATCCCTTCTCAGTATCCTGGAAGGTCATAAGAGAGATCAGTTGATAAAAGGGAGGTGACCAAAGGCCATCTCCAACTTCATACTAAGAGTGGGAGGTAACCCTGCAGCAGGATGCCTCTAATAGCGTGTTAAGGAAGTTCCTATTCATGGGCAATCAAAATGCCAAACTGATGTCAAGATCAGAGGGAAGTCTGAAGCATTAGTTTGAAAGTAGGCCCCTGTGCATTTGTTTCAGCTGAGGTCTTGGAAGCAAACACCTTTCGGCATGTATCTCATTAATGCTGGGTTTACACTAACTGCCAAAATGTGCCTGGTATAATTTTAATGTTAACTTAGTAGTGAAGACATAGAACAAATCTCAACCTACTACTGAGTTACTTTTCATCCTCATAGAATTAGGAAAAATTGAACAATATAACATTTAAAAACTCATGTACAGGTAGTTATTTTGTACATGGTATTTAAATAAAAGTCGTATTTCTTTAAGTCATCTGAAGGGATGAAGAAAGTGGGAGCCAAGGTCTTCCTCAGAGTACTCAGTAATAAATCAGATGCAGTGATGTTTTGCTGAGGCAACTGCATCCCAGTGGGGCTTAAGATAGCTAAGTCTTTTGCCATTACTTGGACAGCTTATGACCCAAAAAAAAGATGATCACTTTGCCATGTCTGATTTCCTAAATATAAAATGGTTACTGACATTTGCATACTGTTAAGTGTTATAACTTCAGCTAAGGGATTAGTGAGGGTGAACCATTTCTTGTTTTATGGGATAAACTAAATTTAGGATTGCTCATCATTCATATATGTCATTCTATACCTTGTCATAGGGGAAAATTTATCTGGAGGAAATAAAATAAATTTCCACACCCTGGTTCAGACGTGTATTTTTGCCGTATGAAGTGAGGAAATAGTAGAAAGTGAGAATCTGGGGCAGGGGGTGAGGAGGGAGAAAGAGAATCTATTTGTATGATAAATACTGAAGTCCAGGTTCCAAGCGTGAAACAACTAAAGTGATGGGCAGAAGAAATATTGTTAGGTCTGTATGAAAACAGGACTGGGTGGGAAAGATTTATATCTTCAGATGATTTCAGGCACTAATTTGTGATAAAAGACAAAAGTGCCAGAGATCCCAAGATTATTCATACATTAAAGTCTACAGGACTAAGCAAGAGATTCTAGAACTAGACAAAATGAAGTGCTGAATTTCTCTTTGATCCCAAAAGGTCACTGCTTTTGCCATTGCCGGCAAATCATCAGTGCTTTGGGGAACTCAAAGTGCCTTCATCAGGAAATGTTGAGGGATAGTATGTGATGGGACTTGATTGTCCTGTTAGGTTGGCAGCTTGCCCTGACCTGAACTGAACCAGCATGTAGAAGGGAAAAGCACTCTCAAAAGAGAGGTCCTGAGACTTCTTCATATCTTGCAGTTAGAAGAAAACAGTTCAGGGTCCATGTGTATTACCATCTCCCAATCTTTTCTGTCTCTGTGGATATGTTTGTGAGCACATGTGTACACATCCCCAATCTGAAAATACTGATAGAAAGGGGAGTGTGCAGGATTCCTGGTTATGAGTTTCTCAAACTTACCATGGAGTAACTGTTTGCTTTTGGATTAATGTGTTGTTTTGGAAAAGAAAAGATGAGAGAGGCTAATAGAAGAGCTACAACAATGAACTTTGTTTCCTGGCAGTGAGTGGAAAGAGGGCTTTGCTTCTTAGAACTCCAAGGATATCTGAAAGTTGAGGCAAAAGAGGGCGGGCTTGGGGTACTGAAAATGACAGATAAATAAAAGGAACTTTGGTACAGGGCCTATCTGGCTGGACAGTATTCATGTGGCAATGAGTGATGAAGGTGCTAAGGATAAAAAGGGCCACTCAGTCCATGAAACAGGAGAACACAAACAGGTAAAATATTAGAACGAATGTATTTATCACTGGAGTGAACCTGGCTCAAGGTAATTTCTGGTAACTGGAATAAAAAAGCAACTCATTCATTTCTCATTTTTGCCTATCACCCTCCTTTCTCTTCCTTTAATCCCCAATAAAGATAAACTTAATGTTCTAAACACAAACTGTGTAAATCGTTCAGGCTGTCCAGGGGCTTGATTTTTCTCTCTTCTACTGACTTCAAAACCTTGTATGTACCTCAGCTGAGATCACAAAGTCTTATGTAGAGTGGACAACATTTGGGGTTCACAGAGAAGTTAGCCTGTGAAACTTGTATTAAAGAAACATTTTAACTAAATGAGACATCTAAACTAGACATGAGCACAGTTGAGAATCAATATTTATTTAAGACGAAAAAAAGAGAGGCTAGGTGTGCTGGCTAATCTTGCATCGGCTTACTTGTGGGCCTGTGATCAGTGTTATCAGGCAGCTGTACGCCCATGCTTTGTAAAAGGTTCGACGCAGGTCCTGCCAGTCCAGCTTGGGAACTATAGGATTCCAGTATATTTGAAACCAGGTTCAGGTCTACATCCACTGGTGTCATAACAGATCCTCCTGCACCAGAATCTTCCTCATCTGAATTATTACTGATAGTCTGGGATAAAGGTTCCTTATTTATGGAGAGAAAACAAAATCATGGGATAATAGGCCATTAGATTAGATGGTAGTTACAATAAAAACTAAGCAACAATGTAAAACTGAATTCTAAATTAAAAAGGAAATTTCTTATCCTTAATAATAGAAAATAAAAATGAGGTCTAATAAACTTCACAATTTAACACATATATTAATTAGAATTTGGTTCCAAAGATTTTTAACACACTTCTTTCTAGGAAAAGTTTCTATAAATTGGATTTCTTCCCTGTTTTCAAATAGCCCAAGGGAGATAACCAAGACTAAGGAGACATAGCTTGCCTAAGAGTTTTTTGTTTTTTTTTTGACAAAGATCACAAGTAGGCAGAGAGGCAGACAGAGAGAGAGGGGGGAAGCAGGCTCCCCGCTGAGCAGAGAGCCTGATGTGGGGGTCGATCCCAGGACTCTGGGATCATGACCTGAGCTGAAGGCAGAGGCTTTAACCCACTGAGCCACCCAGGTGTCCCTTGCCTAAGAGTTTTAAAAGAGATAGGCAAATACGAACATTAAAAAAAAAAAAAAAAAGAATCTGGGATGCCTAGGTGGCTCATTTGGTTGAGCAACTGCCTTCAGCTCAGGTCATGATCCTGGAGTCCTGAGATCAAGTCCTGCATCAGGCTCCCTGAGCAGTGGGGAGTCGGCATCTCCTTCTGACCCTCCCCTTCTTGTGCTGTTTCTCTCTCTTTCAAATAAATAAATAAATCTTTAAAAAAATAAAATAAAAAATAAATAAATAGAAGAGAATCTAATTTTTTCTCTAAATGAAAGAAACTAATTTCCTTTTTTTCCCCAATGAAAAAACTTCAAGTAAAAACCTGAGGCTCTGTGGACTCAAACCACCAAGAATTTGAATTGTTACTTGAACCTCTGTGGTTTCACAGGTTGGGGAAAGAATGTGAAAGACTGTAGCTTGATTTATAGGCCTTAGTATCTTTGCTATTCAAAGTGCAGCCCAGGAATCAACAGTATGCTGATTATATGCCTGTTAGACATGTAAGATCTCAGGCTTCCCCCTAGACCAACTTAACCTGAATCTACATTTTATTTACTACACTTTAATTTCCTTTTTATTTTATTTAAAGATTTTTTTAAAATTTATTTGACAGATAGAGATCAAAAGTAGGCAGAGAGGCAGAGAGGCAGAGAGAGAGAGGAGGAAGCAGGCTTCCTGCTGAGCAGAGAGCCTGACGAGGGACTCAATCCCAGGACCCCAGGATCATGACCTGAGCTGAAGGCAAAGGCCTTGACCCACTGAGCCACCCAGGTCGCCCTTAATTTCTTTTTTACTTCACTTTTACTTAGATCTTTAGATGGCTCATATACATATTAGTATTTTAGAAACACTGCTTTAGATAAATCTAAGATATGGTTTCTTGGTTTCCATTAGGTTTGGGCAATATTTGAAGTGATTATTGTTTAAATGTGGTTTAGATGATGAAAGCAAGGTGAATAACACTCATTAAGGGCCTTAATATGGATTTCACTGTTGGCTTGTTTAGTTCTCACATTAATTCTACCATTTAAGGATTACTGGTTAATGGATATATATTCACAGTGGAGGCTGAGCTGGACTTCAAACCCTAATCCCCAAGACTCCAGGGTCCACTCTCTTACACAATGTCTCTTAGGTCCAGGTAGGACACTGCTGGTATAAAAACTAGGATAAAAAAATGAGTGGAAGGTGAATTCTTAAATTGGTCCTAAATTAAGAAAACATAGAACAAACACTATTAAGACTTGAAAATAACTTGGATTTATTTAAGATCCTTTCTGTTTTTATTTTTTAAAAAGATTTTATTTACTTATTTGACAGAGATCACAAGTAGGCAGAGAGCCCAATGTGGGGCTCGATCCCAGGACCCTGAGATCATGACCTGAGCCGAAGGCAGAGGCTTAACCCACTGAGCCACCCGGTACCCTCCTTTCTTTTTTTAAAGTCTGTGTAAGCTGTTAGTAGTAGAATGTAACCACAAACCAGTCTGACCACATCGCATGAGTTTTTTTTTTAAATCATAATGGATAACATAGAATAAGTAATATAATAAGCTTATATTTGGGAGAAAGAAGTTAATAATCATTCTATTAGGGAAACATTAGCAATCTTATATTCTTATTTACTTCAAATTAAAAAATCAAATTCATCACCAATAAGAGGATAAAAATTAAAAAAAAAAAAAAACTAAGATAAAATAGTTTTAGCTCTCCTTCATAATACTAAGATATTCAGATAGGGGAAGAGGTTAAACACTCACGTACCATTTGCTTCTGGGTGGTGAAACTTTTGCCAATACTGGTATGTGCCAATTCCTGGTCCATCTGGGCCATGTATGACTTGAGATTATTAAGAGTTCCTTTCACAGATGCATCCTCCTCTGTCTCCTGTGTTTTAAGATCCAAGTCATCATCACTGTCTAAACATTCAAAGTCTTCCTCATCCAGATCATCGGAGTCTGATTCATGAGAACTTGGCCCTACACAGACCCCAACACAGAAAGAGCCACATGGTAATTTTTTCTTCAGTGATTATACCTCTCAAAGAGTTAAATATTATCTGCAGAAAAGGACCAATATACAGAGATAAATTACTTCATAAAACTCTCTTCTGGAAAATGGTAGTGCAGGCAGATATTTGCAGAAAGGTACACAGGCTGAGCTGAAAAATATAGCTTTATTTTTTTATTATGAATTTGATTACTAAAATTTTTTACTTAAAAAACTTAAAAGCTACAGAATACATGAATATATTTTGATATAAATATTCAAGCCATATGGAGTTGTTATTGTCTCACTTCTCACTCTCTTCCCAGAGTTAAGCATCTTTTAATAGTTTGGTGGGTACCCAGCCTTTATGCAGTTCTGTACATACGTATAAAAACATAAGGGTGTATATATATGTATATACACACACACACATCGAACCATGTTTGCTTTTCCACTTATTTATATGTCATGCAAGTCCTTCTTTGTGAAAACATATAGATGGACCTCATTCTTTCTTAAGATTGCATAATATTTCATAATACGGTTGTACTATTATTTATTTTTTATTTTTTAAAAGATTTTATTTATTTATTTGACAGACAGAGATCACAAGTAGGCAGAGAAGCAGGCAGAGAGAGAGAGGGGTGGGGGAAGCAGGTTCCCCGCTGAGCAGAGAGCCCGATGTGGGGCTCGATCCCAGGACCCTGGGATCATGACCATAGCTGAAGGCAGAGGCTTAACCCACTGAGCCACCCAGGCGCCCCCTATAATTTATTTAACCATTTCCTTCTTCATGGGTATTTAGGATGTTCTACTTTTTTCTACTACAATGCTATAATCACCATTTTAGCACATATGTGTCTTTTTCATAGAGAAAATTCCTGGAAGCGAAATAACTAAGTCAAAGGTTATAAACTTTCTAGAGTTCCAAACTACCTTGTGAAAGACATCTTATACTTCCACGCTCACAGTTTGATAGTACCCATTTCTTCAACCCTTTGAGAAAACTGGGTATTGTCAATATTTTAAATCTTTGGCAATATGATAGGCAAAAAAATAAGTTCTTATTTTGTATTGTGTATTTACTTACTAGAAACAGTTAAGTATTTTCAAATATTTATTTGTCTATATTTCTTCCTCAAGGCATTGCCTGCTTATATCCTTTGTTGATTTTTAAAATCGGGCTATTTGTATTATTAGTGTTAAGTACCGTAAGTCTAAAAGAGAAAAAACAGTGTAACATGGAAGCCAAGGTAAAACCATCTCTAGCCACACAGCATTCATTCATTCAACAAATATTCAAAGAGCAGCTACTATGTCAGGCACTGAGCTAAGTATCCTCTACAAAATCATTCAACTGCACAGAAGTTCATGGTTGAAAGCAATTCAAAATAATCAAGAGAAAGCAAATACTTTGATTTCCAAGAGACCCAATGCTCTAGTACTCTAGCAACAGCCTTGCTACTTACAGTTTCAAAATGAAAATAAACATCACACTGTAACTTACCTAAAATCTTGTCAAAATAATTTAAAAAAGAGTCTGCATCAAAAGTGATTGGAGCCTCAGAAGGTTCTCTGTAAAGATTAAAGGAGAAAGACCATTTATCTTGAACACAACTCTCTGGAACTTTCTTTTTTAAAGCAGTGCCATTCTTAGGAAAACTACCAGAGATATGATCTCAAAATAAGTGCAGCAAGAAAAACTAGTTTAAATGGTCTTGCAGGGCAAAAGAAATGGGAAAGACTGATGAAATAAGAGTAAAAGGTGCCTGGGTGG